AATTTACAGCCATCCCGTTCCTTCTCCACTGTACCCTCACAACAACCCCGTGAGGTAGGCTACACTGAGAAAGAGTGGCTAGTCCAGAGTCATCTAGCAGCGTCATGGCAGACCAGGGATCTGCACCTGGGTCTCCCAGAAACTTGTCCATCCCTTTAGGCACTACAGCAAGATGGCTGTCATGGTGTTGCACAACTGGACAAATGCAGAGGAGGAAACAGATCTGTACCAGTCAGAGCTGTGCATCAGAAGTTCAATTCATTCTAGCTGCATGTTAGATAAGTGCAGCAGGCACAGCTTTTTGAAGCCATCAAGTGATAAAAATTAACCTCTCATCATCACCCTTGTTCTAAGTATGACAGAGTTGGTTTGCTAATTTATGATGCCAGTGTAGTGGCTCCTATGTCAGATTGTGGGGATCTAGCGTGCTGCAGTGGTCAAGAGTGCTGGTCCAAGTTGAAATCCCTACTGGGCGATGAAGCTCTTTGGGTGATCCTCTCCTAGCATGACCTACCTCACAGTGTTGTAATCAGAGGTCATTTCGGGGGGGGAATTCCCCCGGGTGAGGTGCAGAGGGCGGGGCACATGACGAAGCCCCGCCCCCTGCTTCCGGCCGCCCCACTTCCAGCCCTCATTCAGCCAGGAGGAGGCAGGAGAAGAGGGAGGGTAAGTTGCTTCCTCCCTGCCTCTCCCCACCCCTGCCTGCCTGGGGCCAGGGAGGGCCTTGGCATGGCCTCCTCGCACTCCTGCTGGCCTTGCAGGTCCACCGCCGGGCCCCTGATGTCAGGGGGTGTGACATATGCTAATGAGTTATGCTAATGAGTTCCCCTAGCTCTTTTTCTACGAAATGACCCCTGGTTGTAATGAAAAATGGGAAAGGGAGAATCATATATAGAAGGAGGAGGAGGAGCAGCAGATTGGATTTATACTCCACCCTTCACTACCCAAAGAAGTAGTGCCTGAGCTCTATGGAGGACGAACAGGCTCAACAGTGGATCGATGGGTTCAAATCCTTCTTCCATTATGAAGCCGATCCTAGACTAGGCACCATCTCTCAGCCTAACCTACCTCACAAGATTGTCATAGGGACAAAAATGGGGAGGAGACAGGCCCATAGCCAGGATTTTTTTAAAAAAAATTCTTAGGGGGCACTGGATAACTGAATTAAAGGAATACCTGGTTCCTTCCCTGCACCTGCTGCTGCTCAGGGGCCCTGGACTGGATGGAAAGTTGTGGGGCCTTGCTAGTAAGTTGGGGGGGGGCCTAGCCCCAAGATGCCTCACTGTAGCTACAGGCCGGGGGGTGGGGGGTGGGACAGCTGTGTATGATGCCCTGAGCTCTGTGGATCAAAAATAACTGGGATCAATACTTTCAAATCCCCCTTCCACAACAAAGTTGACCCTGGGCTAGTCACTATTTCTGAGCATACTATAGTACACAATGTTGTGGGGAGGATGTGACAGGAAGAGAGAGGATTGTGGATGCAGCCTTGAACTCCTTGAAGGATAAGTGTATATAAAATTAAAATTCAGTATCACCAGTGTACATAGAACCTTCTAGAGTTCTATCAGCTGCAGCAGGCAGGCCTTTACCCCAAAGGAGGTTGCTGTTTAAAAGGGAAAATAGTCAAGGGAGGGAAGCAGGAAACCTCAGTTTGTGAGAGCTGGGAGTTTTTTTTCCAGAAAATGCCAATGACTGGTCATGACTGGTCTTAGTAGAACCTGTGGGAATGTGGGCTGAGGGGTCAGAAGGTTTGGAAATGGGGTGAGAAAAGGGAGAAGGGGGTCTTTAATATACTCACACATTTTGGGATTGTAGGGATACACACAGAAATATAGACTGTGAGCAATGCTCCCTCTAAGCTGTGAAGTCTTGTGAGCAAGATTCTACTTTGTGATCTACTGGCATTATTTATTTATAAGTTCAATTTATAGCCCTCCCTCCCCACTACGCGGGCTCAGGGCAGCTCACAATCAGGCATAAGCATGCACATAAAACACAATTAAAACCATTTAAAATCATTTCTACAATATTACAACATTATTAAAGTTGTGAGTGATTGGGCTGTTGCAGAAATTAGTTTGCTGTGGAGCCATCCTTCCTCAGCTAGGACAAAAATGTGTGAGCCGGAGGCTAAAAAACTATGAGCTAGCTCACAGTAACTGAGCTTTAGAGGGAACACCGACTGTGAGCTTCCATAATGGTAAAGGGTTAAATTAGATATGAAGGAGAGCTGAGATTATGCTGATTGATGAATTATAAATAGTTGCTCCCAGAGCTCCAGTCTGGAACTGGGCTAGGGCTGCCAAGTCCCCCCGGGGGCGGAAATCCCCCCGCCCAGCGTGCACATCACAGGGAAGTGATGTTATGACGCCAGGCACGCTGGGGGCGGGGCCACGGCCATACAAGGGAAAACTCTATGGTTTTCCCTTGTATGGCAGCAATTGCAGTAACACAAACACAAACTATTTGCCCCATGTGGAAAGCATACAAACACCTGTGTATTTTCCCCCACTGGCAAATACCCTCAGGGAGAGGGTTGGGGAGATGGAGGCTGCGAGCCACAGTGGTGTAGTGGTTAAAGGGATCCTTCAACATGGTGCCTGTGTGGGCACCATGGCACCAACTGACACCTTCCCTGGTACCCAAGGGTTTTAGAAAGTAGGCAGGGCCAGGTGGGGCTTTTGCCCAGCAAGGCTTCTGATTGGCTGTGTACATTTAAAAAAAACATTGCTTTGGCAACAGATGCCAACACAGCACAAGAATCTACACTTTATGACTGAAAGTAAGCAGTGGCAGCCATTTTGTGGGCGGCTCCACCGATAGTGTAACCATTTTGTGGCTGCACTCACCGTGTCAGAATTCCAAAGGTGCCTGCAGGCTCAAAAATGTTAGGGACTAAAAATGTTAGTGTTAGACTAGGATCTGGAAGGACCAGGTTCAAATTCTCGTTCTGTCATGGAAACTCGCTGGGTGATCTTGGGCCAGTCACTCTCTCACTCAGCCTCACCTACCTCACAGGAGGTGACGGGAGAACAATATTTTAAACTGCTTTGTGTCTCCATTAAGGATAAAAGCTGGGTATAAATGCATACATAATGAAAATGAAAATGTCTGAGATAAAGGCTTAAACTCCCTTGTACCTCAGACTTGTTTTGAATTGGGACCTCCCAGCAACTCCTATTTCCAGTCAAAAAACCAAAAAACAAAACAGAGACAGCTCAAAAAACCAAAAAACAAAACAGAGCCAGTTTGGTATAGTGGTGAAGTGCGCGGACTCTAATCTGGGAGAACCGGGTTTGATTCCCCACTCCTCCACTTGCACCTGCTGGTGTGATCTTGGGTCAGTCACAAGCTCTGGCACAGCTGTCCTTGAAAAAGAGCAGTTTGTGTCAGAGTTCTCTCAGCCCCACCCACCTCACAGGGTGTCTGTTGTGGGGAGGGGGAGGGAAAGGAGTTTGTAAGCCGCTCTGAGACTCCAAGTGAAGGGCGGGGTATAAATCCAATTTCTTCTTCTTCTTCTTCTCTGTTCACAAACATGTTTATTTATAAGCAAGTGGATGAATTGCAAGTCTCCAGTTCAAACGTCACCTCTATCATGAAAACTTGCATTGTGGTCTTAGGCAAATTGCTGTTTTCTTCAGCCCCTGTAATGTGGGTTTAATACAGGTAGGGGATGCCAGTCTCCAGGTGGGATCTGGGGATCCCCTGGAATTACAGCTCATCTCCAGCCTACAGAGACCAGTTCCTCTGAGAAAATGGCTGCATTGAAGGGGGGACTCTATGGCATTACATCCCAATGAGGTCCCCGTCCTCCCCAGGCTACATCCCGCATTTCCGCACATGGACTTGGGAACCTTACACCCTCATCCCCCGCTGGTGGCCAGTGGGGACCTGGCAACCTTAAATACAGGTCTACCTTATAGGTTGGTTGTAGAGTTGTCGAGAAAGCATGTGAAGTGCTATGAACACAACAGCTATCGAAGTGCATAGTTTATTAATATTATCAAAATACACACAGCAAATCTTTAACAGTACTGATCTAAAACAAGTTTAATAAAAAAGATACAATAGACCAAAAAAAATCCTCAAAAAGCTCTTAATGCCCTGCATTACAGGTCAGCCAAAGTACTCAGACTTCAGAGGGTGGTTGTCTTAGTCTGCGGCAGCCAAAACATGGCATCTGAACAAGGAACAAGTTTATTGTGTGTGCCACAAGATCTGCTCTCAGTATAATGGAAGACAGACGCTTAGATATTTTTAAACGCTCTACTACAAAAAGAAAAGAATGCAACCAGGCATCTGGAGGCACTGCAGTTCACACTCAAAGAGAACTCTGCAAAAAAGTGGCACCAACTTCCAGGACCTGCTACTTCCCAGCCCCCTGTCCAAACCACCTCTTAGTAACTGTAGTGTTAGGGTCTTAATGCCTGCATGTGCACTGTGAAAAACGTTTGTGGTCATCAAGTAAGAGAGATCTTGCCAAGCGTGCTTTTGAATTAAGAGACCTGAATCAGGAGAAATGCGTATCTCAGCATACCCTCTCAGCATCGAGCCCTCACCCGCACTGCTGCTCAGTAGGGTGACAGGGGGTGGAAATGAGCCAAAAATCACCATCAATGCGACACTCTAGCATTCACCAGAAACTCTAAGGAGTCTGGTGAATACGAGAACATCACGGTGACAACACGACGTCACTTTGGTGTTTGATCTGGAAATAATGTCATACTGTTGACCAATGCCTGTCTTGTGAGCAAAAATTCTACTTTGTGAGCTACCGGCATTAAAGTTGTGTGCAAGCCACTTGGCTACTGCACAAATCAGTTTGCTCTGGAGCCATCCTTCCTGAGTTCAGACAAAAATGTGTGAGCCCGAGGCTAAAAATTGTGAGCTAGCTCACACTAACTTAACGTAGAGGGAACACTGCTGTTGACGCAACAGCCTCATCCCCCCCCCCAATATCCCTGCCCTCCCAGTCTCCCACCAGGTGCCAGCCACCAGCTGGGAACCCTTAGGGGATTAGACAGATTCTAGGTTACCATGGTGGTGACTAAATGGAACTGCCATGTTCAGAGATTGTCAACCTGAATCCCAGTGCTAGTAAGCAACATGAGGGGAAGACCTTGGCCTCTGGGCCCTTTTGCTTGAACAATTTGCGGGAACAATTTTACCATCTCATCTCATCTGCTCTGTGTGTGTGTCTTTGTGTGTGTGTGTGTGTGTGTGTGAACGAGACCTGTAATATCTTTTCATACAGCCTCTTCTGAGAATGGCTAACTGCACTCTTCCTACAGGGTTCCTCTTCTAGAAAAGGTTATTTTATGTTTAATCTTGTATACAGTCTCACTGAACATCCGCAAGATTTGCCTCCCGTACAAATTATATGGTGTGTGACAGGGTGTGAGTCGCAACAGACACTCCTCCTTCGGGCTGTGTGTTTATGTGATCACCCTCCTGTACGGATTCATTTGTGTTTAAGGGGAGTAGATCCTTGACCGAGGTTTCTTCCTCAGTCTGACTGTACCGTCTCAGCCCTGCATGAGTCCTTCCATGCCTAATGAGGTGCGATCTCCGGTTGAAGCTTTTCCCACAGTCCGCACAACAATAGGGCTTTTCACCTGTGTGGATTCTCTTGTGCCGAATAAAGTGAGATCTCCAACTGAAGGTCTTTCCACACTCGGAGCATTTAAACACCTTCTCTTCTTGGTGAGGGCTCACATCTGTTATAACAAGCGAGGGGTCACCGTAGCTTCTGTCACCACTGAGGCATTTATGTGGCCGGCAACTTGAAAGCAAGTCCTCCTGAGCATCCACATGGGATATAAACGAAGGGCTGCTGTGATTACAGCTCTTTTCGTGGCCTGAGAATTTATATGGTGAGTCTTTTGTAAGGATCCTCTCTTGCGGATTCACACTCGCAACAAGGAAAGAACAATGGCTGTAGCTTGTTTCGTTGTTCGGCCATTCGTACAGCTTTCCGCCTGTGGGTGTCTGCTTGTTCAGATTCAGGCCGGCGACAAGGAGCGAGCCAGGACTGTACCGTTCTTCATTTGCTAAGCATTTATGAGGCTGGTCCCTTGTAAAACTCTGCTCTGGAGGATCCATCCCCGTAATATGGAGTGAACTAGGATCATAAAGTGTCCCGCCATCTGGCCATTCGCATGGCTGGCCTCCCATATGTGTTGCTTTGTGTGTATTGAGGTGGGATCTCCGATTGAAGCTCTTCCCACAAACGGAGCATTTATAAGGTTTCTCTCCGGTGTGGATTCTCTCGTGCCTAAGCAGTTCCGAGGTCTGGCTGAAGCTCTTCCCACAGTCCGTGCAGGAATAGGGTTTTTCTCCAGTGTGAATCCTTTCATGCCTCATCAGCTTGGAGGACTGGTTGAAGCTTTTCCCACAGCTGAAACACATGTAGGATTTCTCTCCCCTGTGGGCTATTTCATGCCGAATGAGGTTGGATCTAATGCTAAAGATTCGTCCACATTCCGAGCATTCGTAAAGTTCTTTCTCCGTATGGGTCCTCTGATGTCTATTCAGTTTGGACTTTTCAATGAAACTTTTCCCGCACTTGGCGCATTTGTACGGCCTCTCCCCTGTGTGAGTTCTCTTGTGCGTTACCAGGTGTGATTTCCAGTTAAAGCTCTCTCCACACACAGGGCATACGAACGGCGTCTCTCCTGTGTGCAGCCTTTTGTGCGCTAAAAGGGATGAACTCTGGGTGAAGCTTTTCCCACAGTCCGTACAGGAATACGGTTTCTCTCCTGTATGGATATTCTCGTGCCTAATTAGAGTTGAGGCATGGCTGAAGCTTTTCCCACAGTCAGAACATTTGTACGGTCTTTCTCCTGTATGGGTAATCCCATGCCTAACAAGGTCTGACCGAAAGCTGAAACTTTTCCCACAGTCCACACACTGATACAGTTTCTCTCCCGAATGGATTCTCTGATGCCTGTTACAATTGGACCTTTCTGCGAAGCTTTTCCCACAGTGTGAACAGTTATATGGCTTCTCGCCCGTATGGATTCTTTTATGCGCCAAAAGGTTCGAAGACTGGGCAAAGGTTTTCCCACACTCATTGCATGTCCTCGGACTCTGAGATTTCTGGATTCGCTTGTGGACTGTGCCTTTGCTGAGATCCTGGGAAACCTCCACACAAGGAATGGCAGTGTTCATTTTCTTTGCTATGGGGTTTCCCAGATCCTCTCTGGTCTACAGTGATTCATGGTCCTCCCTGCTTCATCAGGACAGTGAGAAATTGACATCTCACTTCTTCTTGACCACATCTGTCCTTCTTGCTCAGTTCTTTCCACCTGATGATCCTCTTCATTCCCACTTGCCGGTCCATTGCCTATTAGAAGAAACAAAGATTTGGGGTTTTTTCCTCTTATTTTTTATTATTAATAGACAAAAGAAAGTGCTTCTTCAGAGAAGGCATCATTAACCCATGAAACTCATTGCCATGGGACACAATAATGGTCACAGGCTTAGATGTCTGTGAAAAAAGGCAAATTCATGGATGATAAATCCAACAACAGCCAAACAGAACCTCCATGCTCAGAGGCAATGTACCTCTGAATGCCATTGGAACGTCCAGCTTTTTAGGCCTTCTAGAGGCATTTATGTGGCCACTGCAGGAAACAGGACACTGGACTAGATGGACTGATTAGTCTGATCCTGAAGGCTTAACATCTTATGTCACTTTGTCATTTGCTGCTGGGAGTTACCGTGGCTCATTTCAGGGTGAGTAAAAAATCTGAGATGAAAAATGGGTGGTGAAGATCCTCTCCAACTATTACATCTCTAGTCAGAAGAACAGGATAAATCTATAATTGCTGCTCCAAGTCCCTGAATGAAGGGGTTAGGGGTGGGGTACAATTATGATCAATAATAGATAATTTAGACACCTCGGTATTCAAGATTGGCAATAGATTAGGTGTTCAGACTTTCCACAAACCAACAGACCGCAAATCTTATTTGCATTTTTGTTCTCATCATCACAGACATCTTAGGTTTAATATACCTTATGGTCAGTTCATTAGAATTAAAAGGAACTCAACATTAGAAGAGAATTACTCTAGGTACAGTAGGATCTTAGCACAGGAGTTTAGGGATACAGGCTATCCTGATGAGATTATTAGAACAGCTTTAAAAAGAACTGATAATATGTCTAGGATGGATATTTTGGCGGATAAGGAAGCTAACAAGCATAAAACTAATATTAGTTATGCCTTTGATTATACTCCCCTAGCAGGACAGATTAAGAACATAATACATGGACATTGGCATTTACTCAGTGCTATTCTGGGTTGTGGAAAACTACCTTTTGTTGGTTTTCATAAGACCACTTCTATACGTAACATACTTACTAGATCTGATATTTTTACTAATAAATCTCAGGTTTCAAATCGTTGTCATGGCCACTTTAAATGTGCCAAATGTTCCAAGTGTGCACAGGTGTGGCAAATTAAGATCACTGAGTTTCCTGAGCTGGGGTTTAAGAGACAACTAATTTTTTTTTAGTAATTGTTGTAGTAAGTATGTCATGTATTTAATTTTATGTAAATATAATTTAAAAAATGTGGGATCAACAAGAAGAGCTGTATGCACACGGATAGCTGAGCATAAATCCAGAATTCGTCATTGCAATTTAGAAGCGCCTCTGAGTTTGCATTTTCAAGAAGCAAAACATGCATACGATGGTTTTAAATAGGTTATTCTGGATAGAATCATTCCTAGACCCAGGTGCAGAGAGGATCTGTGTAAGAGATTATTGCAGAAAGAATCGTATTGGATCCACAGACTGAGTGAACACTTCCCCTGGAGGGTCTGAATAATAACATTGATTTCAGTTGTTTTCTATGATGTTGTGAGTGCCTTCAGAATTAGTTCATTCTCCCGACATGAGTGGGGATGGTTTGCATTTGAGTTATTACCTCTGTTAATATTATGTTTTGCTTCTATAATATTATGTAGTTGGGAGCCCGTTTACATGGATTGCTATACACCAGATTGTGAACCCTTGAGGGGTGAGTGAATTGCACTGGTGTATTATTTATAAATTGTTTTACTATGGGTGATTACATGATGTTTTTATTGTTGTTATTAGGTCCATGACATTATGTGAAATTGCCCTTTTTGTGAAATGGTATATTAACTGATACAACAGATATGTGAGTTTTGCTATTGTATAATTTATTGTTTATATTATACTAGCATACATACGTTATAGTTTCATTAATGTTTCTGTTCATCAAGATTGATAAAGATCTCGAAACAAGGTCATATCCGGAATACTTGTCTGATAATATGATGACAGATGCGCATAATTGATTCCGCGGCTGCATATAGAGCCCAGAGTCGCATTACTTGTGAGACATTCACATCGTCCCTGCAACTATTCATGCACTGATTTATACTACATGGCTCTTTTTGCGGGCAGTTCAAAGTGATGAGCTGGGTTTCATCCACGACTCTTTGTTGTATGTTTATGTTGGAATGTTGATTGTGTAGGGATCCCAAGTCCGACCGGGGGGGGGTGGGGAAACCCCCACCCCAGAGGCCCGTTCTCCGATGCTGCCGGATCGGGCCCCGGGGGGGAACTCCTCCACGATGTGCGCGTCACCAGGAAGTGACGCGGGCACGCTGGGGGCGGGGCCACGGCCATACAAGGGAAAACTCTATGGTTTTCCCTTGTATGGTCGTGGCCCCGCCCCCAGCGTGCCAGGCGTCATAACGTCACTTCCTAGTGATGTGCATGCGGCGCGCACGCGCAAAGCGTGCACGCACCAGGAGCCACCCGGGAGTCCCCCGCAGAGGAGGTAAGTGCTACTTGGCAACCCTATGATTGTAAATTTTATTGTTATCATTCTTGCTTGGTCTTTAAGATATTTGGTAGTATTGTTAATGAAGTGTCTATTTTAGAGCAGTTTAGGGCTCCATATCATTTATACTCCCTTCCATTGATTTGGCTGCGTTCCCGGTTTTTCCTAGCCATGGATTCAGCTGCAGAAGTACTGTGGCATGCTTATGAATGTTTATGTTTATAGGTATCTGATGAAAGCAGGTTTGACTCTCAGAAGCTTCTACCCTGAAAATCTTGTTCGTCTCTAAGGTGCTACAGGACTCAAACCTTGCTCTTTTGCTGCAAACTAACACGGCTACTCTCCGAAACTGTGGAATGTTTATGAACATTCCAGCTGCTCAAAGGATTGTTTAAAATAAAACCTGTCAGTAAGCTTCCGGTTGTGTTGGAAGAAACATTAAGCAGACAACAAATTAGGCAGCCCTGTCAAAAGGTTTGTCAGAGCAGAGTTTGATTGGCAAGTGTAAATCTTGCACTTGAGTAGTGGGAATGGTGCAGGAGAGAGCATGTACACAGAATGGGCATGGAAGGTATTTGTATACACACACACCAAAATACACCCACAAATGTAAAGAGGTCTCTGTTCATCATGGTGGGTTTTCACCCAGTGCTTTTATTTCTAGAAAAAGATTGCAGGGCTTCTACCTAGCCACAACTTTGATCTGAAGGCCTCCCACCCCCAATGCCTAATATGTGAGTGCTTTCTGTGATCACCCAGTGGTGAGCAAAATGCACTTTGCAAATGCTCAGAAGCGCTTTCATTAACATACAGGTTTTGCTGTTTTTATTATTGCTTCTATTGTGCTGCTTTTGTAGATTTGTTTAACCTGTTTTGTAATATTCCGACCTGGAATCTACCACCTGCAGGGTGAAGCGGAAGGGTCCTTTCTACCACCTCAGGGCTGTAACTGCCTCATTCCCACATCATTTTCCTGTGTTTGTTTACCAGGCCTCAGTACTGGTTGTCTGAAGCCTCAGAGCAGCTTTGTTGACCAGGCCTCAGACCAGGCCATATCTCCGAATTTTACTTCCAGCAGATCCCCATTCTTGTATGCTTGCAGTCAGGGGACATTTCCTGCAGCAGCGCACAGGAGCGGAGCTCCAGCAGTAAAGAGCCCAGGGGGCGGGCACATGCAACAAGCCCCACCCCCTGCTCCCAGCAGCCCCAGGCCACAAGGAGCAAGAAGCCTCCTTCCTTCCTTCTCTCCCTCTTTCTTTTCCTCTTTCTTTCCTTCTCTTTCTTTCCTCTTTCCCTCCTCCTTTCCTTCTTTTTTCCTTCCTTCCTTCCTTCCTGCACAGATCTGCACGTTCCCCACCCCCAGCTAGCAATCCAAAACCGTCCAGTGGCACCTTTAAGGCCAAGGTTTATTTAGGTACATGATCTCCCTCCTCTGCTAGGGCAGTTCTGCACGTCCACGTCCCCCCATATCTAGCAATCCTAAACAGTCCAGTGGAGCCTGAGCAGTGGGTGTTGCCTTCTGATACTTCCAAAAGTTCGGATGCTCCCTTCTTTAGAACTGGTACAGTATAATGTTTAGACTTTCAGGTTAGGATCTAGGAGACCCAGATTCAAATCTGTACTTCACAGTGGAAGCTTGCTGGGTGACCTTGGGCCATTCACATACTCTCAGCCTAACTCACCTCACAGGGTTGTTGTGAGGATACAGTGGAGAAGATTGATGTAAACTGCTTTGGGTCCTAATTGGGGAGAAAGGATTCCTGCTTGCTGCAAATGGTCTCTATCCCACTCTTGTAATACAAACCGGATATTATTCCAGACCCTTCTGCCCCACACTTACACTTTCCTTCTCATGGGGCTGGACCACTCTTAAGTAATCTCCAGCACACCTGAGCCATTGTATCTGTGCGATGCTAAGCACATTTATTCAGGAGTAAGTTTCACATTGTGTAATGGATTCAGTTGGGTAGCAGTGTTGGTCGGAAGCAACAGAACAAAGTTTGAGTCTGGTGGCACCTTTAAGACTAACACAGTTTAATTCTGGGTATGCATGCACTGAACAGTGAACTAAAGTGGACAGGAATGGGTGAATTTAACTCAGAAGACCATTATATCTACTACTGTGGCCAAGAATCCCATAGAAAAAATGGTGTGGTCTTTATAGTCAACAAGAGAGTGCGAAAGGCAGTATTGGGATACAATCTCAAAAATGACAGAATGATCTCAGTCCGAATCCAAGGCAAAGTATTCAACATCACAATAA